TGTTTAGCGCTACAGTCGACCCGATTCAAAGCAATAACGACAAACCACTAACTTTAATTTCCGTCAATATACTTTTGTTTTAATTTCTTGTCAATATATCTTGATCTTATTTTCATTGTTCATATACTATTGATTATATTATCTTGAATATTATCTTGTCATATTTATCATATTATTCATATTAAATTCATCTTGTTCATATCTAGTTCACACTATTCAAAAACACAATAAAACGATTGAAACCCTAAAATCTTAAATTGGTGGACTGTTGGTTATTTTTCCGAGCAATGAAACTTAGACCTTGTACAGAAACCCTAGCTTAGTGCTTTTGTCCGATCTTGCACAAGGCTTAGTTTAGGACACCTCACACACACGGCTTCCTTTTGGGCTACCTGAAAATGAAACCTTTTATTTCGTACAATCCTGTGTAATTTACATGTACTCCGCTCCCATTCTGATGCACACATTCGTATTGCTTTAATTGTGGTTTGTTTACTATGATCACCCCTAGGGACTAGCATAGACTAAACAATTTTCAAACTAATTCTCGATTAGTCATGGAGCCATTTTTAAACACCCCTTGTAAGTTGATTGCTCGTAAGCATTTTCCATAAACCTAACACACACACTCGAACATTTCATCATGGTTTCATTACTAGGAGCACCTTTAGGGACTATGATCGATTCTCGCCTCTTTTCAACCAAACTCTCAATTTGTCGTCGAGCCATTTTCAAATCAACTTCTTTTAACCATCTTCTTTGCACGCAAACACAATCACACCCCTTGATCCAACGTCAAGCGGATTTTCTTCAATCAAACTTCAAAACAACTAACAATTATCGAAACTCTTTTCAAGGTGAAAAAGATAGGGATTGAGCCTTTGATCTCTCTTCAGTTGTTTGGATGTGAGTTCTCTTACTCGTGTGCAAGCAATTGACGCCTCTAAAACACTTCCAACTCGATAACATTCAAGATACCTTCCAACCACTCATCATTTGAACACTCTTCAAACACAACCGCTTTTCAAGATGAAAGAGAGAGAGAGAGAGAGAGAGAGAGAGAGAGAGAGAGAGAGAGAGAGAGAGAGAGAGAGAGAGAGAGAGAGAGAGAGAGAGAGAGTCATGCCTTTGACTCACTCTTCCGATTACTTAGGCCCGAAGACCCTTTCTTAAGCTTCGAGTAATCGTCATCCGAACCCAACTTCAACACTTTAACCCTTTCTCTTTTTGTCGTCGTGTCCATGAACTACGGACGCTCTGATTCTTCATTCATTTAAATGTAAGATACGTAGGCACAAGATTGTGATAATTTTGGCGAGCATAATTCTATCCATCTTCCGTTTTCCCCCTATCTTTTCCCGTAGTCGAACTACGGACGCTCTGATTCTTCATTCTTGTATGAATGTAAGATACGTAGGAACAAGATTGTGATGATCTTGGCGAGCACACTTCCATCTTTTCCCGTCATTTCGCGTCTACCTTCCCTCCATTTTCCGCTTCCGTTTTCCCATCTATCCTTTCCCGTAGTCAAACTACGAGAACTCTAATTTCTCATTCTCGTTCGAATGAGCATATGTAGGCATAAGGGCTCCAATCCTTGGCAAGTACCCTATCTTAAAACCACCATTTTCCCTTAGCATCGATTCTTATTTTAGCGTACCTTTTCATATTTATCATTGAGAAGAAAACAAATAAGCTTAGCTAACGTTCATTACAATTCGAATTAAGAGGTTCTCGTTGAGTACAACGGACGTGAGGGATGCTAATACCTTCCCTTTGTGCGACTGACTCCTGAACCCAGAATATGGTAGCGATGACCGTGTTTTTATCTCCCTTAAAGGTTTTCTCGATATTTTCCTTTCCCTCTTTTGGGATGAATAAAGTTCAGTGGTGACTTTGTCGAACCGCATTCTGTGTCTTTCGCGCGAGGGTCGTGTCTCTTGATTGTTTTATTTTTCGAGGTGCGACATTTGGTCATGTGCTTTTTCATTTTGTGGCTCAATCCAAATGGAAAGGAATGATTGTTTTGACCAATGTCAAATGCTTGCTCTACCTTGTGGTTAGTACACATGCACAAATAAAGGCTTTCTCTTGAGCTACCTTACAATGAGGTCTTGTATTCTATGTCATTTACTTTATGCTTTAGGATAGTCTCTTCATCTCCTTCCCACTTCTTCAATTTTCAAAACTTTTCCCTTTTTCAAAAACTTCTTGTTTTCAAACTTCACATCTTTTTCTTAATAAACCTTAACTTTGTCAAGTAATCCAAAAAATATTTTTCTTAATAAATGCTAAAACACTTAAGCATACTTAAACTCTTTTCTCAAAATTTTAAAAAAGAAAAACCTCATCAAACCTCTTTTTGTGCCTCTGTGCACTTTTCCTTAAGAGCCTTTTTTTGAAAGATTGGATATTAGCATGTTCTTGTAGTGATGCAAACCACTATACTTCTACAATATGTTGAGAAATGATTGACATTTTTCACTTGAATGTTGAGACGTGCTTTGAGAAAGTCTAAGTAAAAGTTCTTCATATCAATATGATGCAAATGTTCATTTCCTCATGCTTGTGGATAGTAAGTTGAGTTTTTCACTCGAATACGACAAAATATTTTTTCAAATTAAAATCAATCAACAAACAACCCAGATTTTTCATAAACACAAATTTGCAAATGGTTCCTATGAAGTATCATAGATGTGAGGGGTGCTAATACTTTCCCCTTGCATAACCAACCCCTGTATCCAAATTTTCTCTTTTATTTTACTTTTGTGGACTTTGTTCGACCTTTACCCCCTTCCTTTTAGAAATAATAAAGTTCGGTGGCGACTCTTACTTTTCGAGTTAAGTTAATCAATAGCTTAATCTCAAATTTTTCTGTCGCGACAGCGTCTCAATTTAGTAATTGCACTTGAGTGTGCCTAGGTGCATCGTCTTCCTCCCCTATGCACATGGGACACGTGGAGGTCATCGTTGTAGAAATGTTTCATCAACCTAATGTGCATTTAATGTACATATTTCCCTTGTAACTACTTTGATTGAGCTTGAAAGCTCTTACGTATGACAAGATCACTGCAATTCAATCTTATGTCACTCTTATTTATTTTTACATCAACAATCTTCGCTTCACAGTTGATAAAAAGGACTCGGAAGGCAACATTTTTTGGCTAACCAACGACCCACAAATATTGGCCCAACCACGTAGGACCAGTTCTCTTTATGGATTCACATCGTCGTCGTATAAGTAGACATACATCACATGACGCCGCAAAGAAGCATGTTTCTCCTTTAATCAGAGTCATTGATTTTCATCCAACAGTCACTCATCACATTAAAAAAATTAAAAAATTGTACAATAATCTCTCTTATATAAATATGACCCTGAGTTATACTCACTGCAATCTTACTTGAGTGTCAAAGTGTTAATCTTTGTGACATTTATTCTCTTTGATCATCAAAGAACTATCATCATCTCACTAGAAACGTCTCATGATAGTCTTTATCAAAGTACCGATCGCTTTCTATTTTTGTACGAAATTAAAAAAAAATAATAATAATAATAAAAGTTGTATTTTCAAATCACTCCTCGTAAAAACTATTTCGTAAAAATAGAAATTATCAAAAGATTAAAATTAAATGAATTTAAAAAATAACAACATTAAATATCATAGTAGTTAACTTAGTTGCTAATAGTCACTTATTTATTTTTTATATTTGAAATTCGAAAGGTAAACTCTTGTATTATATTATATGATCATAATAACTAGTCGTATTATAAAATATTACAAGATGTTTGACAATTCTATATTAAATTATTTGTTGCGATACAGTCGTGACTCACAAGTCTCATATTATTTGAAGAAGAAAAAAAAGGTAAAGATTTATCAATATATAAGTGAGAGAATTATAAACCTAATTTCTTAAGATTTTGGTGAAGAGGTTGTGTCACTTTCACTTTTATACTTATTCTTGACTTTGATATTACTTTTTACTCAATGTAAATAATACTCTCATAGTCCACTAAAATTTAAAAAATAAGTAAAAAATGATATGTTAAACTTGTGCCCAAATTCTATCAACCCATAAAAAATCCTTTCTAAAATAAAACTAGGTCTAATGTATTACTTTCTCTGATCCTTATTAATAAAAGAAAAATCATGGAGTGATTAATGTATTTGATCTTTGTATGAACCAAATACATTAATTAATTGTTAGATGAATCTCTATTATTTCAGAGTAACATATTTTAAATTTGATACAGATCAACTTGCGCATAAGATTCCACTATAAAACAAACTTGCACATGACATTATTTACTTAAGAGGAAATGAAGCATGCTGTATAATCAAGTCCAATTGGTTTGTGGAATCTTTCTAAAATATAATATATTAATACTCTTAATACTTTAACTATTTCATTTATAGGAATGAAGCATGATGTATAAAGTCCAACTGGTTTTATGTTAAACAGTCATTTCTTTGTCTATAAATTATTTTTTAAATCAACTGTTTTCATGATTATTACTTTCTTTTATTTAGAGCTCCAAAAGATGCCATTTTTTCCAAAACATCACGACAATAACTGATAATAATATTTATATTATATATATCTCTTCATAAAATGAAAGGACAATAACCAAAAAAGCGTATTCGAGCGTGACATCACAGATGACAAACATGACTGAAACTGAAGTTGAAGAATCTTATTCTATGTTCTTATTTTGACAAACCGTATTCTAAGCTTGTAGTACTTGATCTCTGACTCAAGGGTCAAGATCTGCAACCACAGTGCCTAGAAGTACTTTGACTGAAGACAACAATTAAAGTTCAAAAGGAAAAAACTGCGTTCAAAACTGTAATTAATTACTATAATGTTCTGTCAACCGCAGACTGATACAGCCATTTCATAAGAACAAAAGTCCACAAAAACATCTGTGGAGGAATCAAAAGTTCAAAATTATTTTAAAATTACTGAAAACTTGTAACTCATCTTCTATTGGTTTCTCATTTATCAACTACTTCTATGAGGGTCGTCTCGTAGTCACTAGGAGCCTCAAATCCATGAAGATTCATCACAGTTGCAGCTACGTTGGCCAACCCACCGGTGGGAACATCGTTGCGGAATCTGACACCAGGAGCCAATCCAGGACCTCCAATGGCAATTGGTACCTTAACAAACAAAGAGAAGTATAAGATTTTCTAGTAGACAGACACTATTGTAATTCATGCGAAATTCTCATCAATGACTGAATAAAACATATTTGGTGGTAAAACTTACTGGTTCAAGAGTATGAGAAGTAAGAATCTGGACTTGTCCATCCTTTAGCTGAGGTTTTCCTGACTTGTCCCTCTTGACCATATCTTCTGCATTGCCATGATCAGCAGTGACAACATATATTCCACCCACTTGCTCGATTGCATCAAGAATCAACTGCAGTTACATGATGGCATCAAGAAATTTCAAATTTTCCGCTAGAGCGCAAAAAACATGACAGAGGGTACATTTATTATTTACAGAAATGTTCCAGCTAATTCCAAAAATTAAAGTTCAGTTCATACCTTCACAGCTTTGTCAGCTGCCTTACAAGCCACAATTGTTGCTTCGATGTCTCCTGTATGTCCCACCATGTCACCGTTTGGTAGGTTGACACGAATCTACACAACAGAAGAAAAAAATAAGATAAAAACTAAAAGTTTATCATTAGACAATGAATCTTAAAGTCGCCTGATTATCCATTTAATTACCTGATCAAATTTCCCGCTAAGAATTGCTTCCCTTGCCTTCTCAGCAATCTCCACGGCCTTCATTATTGGCTTTTCATTGAATGTAATCCCAGAGTCACTTGGAATCTCAACATATTCCTCCAGTTTCTCATCAAAATACCCAGACCGGTTTCCGTTCCAGAAAAATGTGACATGACCAAACTTAACAGTCTCACTGTAGAAGAAGAAACTCACAAGTGACTATGATAGCAATCATTTAAAATCAAATATTTTAGATAATGCAGAGCGCCTAAGGTAAAAACTACTGTCCGGGTGGTAGTTTCATAAAGGACATGATGACTTTTAGTTGCATAGTTACAAAAGTTTCACCATCAAGAAAAGAATAGTCATTTACCAAGTTCAAGGATTCGCATGAAAGTGAAACTATTACAATATTCAAGAGAAAGTCAACAGATTAAACAATGACTCACCTGCAAGCAAAGGTGCGAACACCATTTTTAACTAAATATTCTCCAGAAGTCCTTTCAATCTCTGGTGGAGAAACAAGGTATTTGCGTGGAAGTTTCAATTCACCATCGTATTCAAGCATACCAGCATAACGGATTTTAGGGAAGCGTACTCTATCAAATTTGTCAAAGTTTTCATATTCAAGAGCCTTAGCAAGCATAGTCATACGATCTGCCCGGAAGTTAAATGTAACAACGGCATCGCCATCAACTATAGGACCAACAGATTTTCCACTCTCGTCAACAATAACAAAAGGAGGCAGATACTGGTCATTGGCCTTTGGTTCTGCCCTCAGTGTCTTGACAGCTTCAAGAGCACTTTTGAACTTATAAGGTGCTTCACCAAGAACTTGAGCATCCCATCCACGTTTCACAACACTCCAGTCATTCTGCAGGTTGTTTTGAAATCATTTATATTATTCATATATAACATATATGTATACAAAGGTACAAATATTTGAAGACAAATTTATTTGCCGTATAAAAATAAGAATTTGAATACAAACGTTAATCACAAAGGAAATCTCATGACTCCAATGTTTTCACAATAACTATGATAGATAAATGAGATTATGCAGCAGTTCCACCCATAACTTAATCTTTTAAAATGTTTAAGCAGTCATGAATTTTCAGAAAAAAATTATTGTCTTCCCTTTTATCAAACATCCGAGCCAACATGTCAATTACATGAAAGAATCACACATTTTCAATAAAAAGGTGTGGAACATTTTAAAAGAAATGGTGGATAATTGGAATACAATACCTCATAACGATCCATTGTGACATACATGCGACCTCCACCTGATGCAATCTGTGCATCAACACCTTTCTCACGCAATTTTGCAAGATCGTTTTCAATGGTTTCCACAAAAGCTACACTTGAGCCATCCAAAACATCGCGACCATCTGTAAGAATATGGAGACGGACTCTCTTAAGACCGCGCTCACTAGCTCCTTTAAGCAACAACTGTACAAAAATAGTTACTTAGAATTTAGAAGGCATAAAATTTTGCAAACGTGAAGACACAAAAGTTTGAACACATTAAATCACCTGCACTTGATCAAGCCTGGAGTGAACTCCACCATCACTCAGTAGTCCAATGAGATGTAATGTACCAGTTTCGAAACTTTCCTTGATGTAATTGAAACCTTCTCCATCGAAAATCTTTCCAGACTCAAGAGCAAGGTCAACAAGCTTTGCACTACAATAAACAATACATAAATCAGTACATCCCAATCATCACCCGTGCTAGGAATATGATAGCACAGTCAATATGCATAGACAAAATGAAAGCATCAGAGAAATTTATTGACATCACAAACAGGTGTTGATGATTGTGTTGAATCTAAAACTAAAATAGTCATGAGCAGGGTGCAAACATTTCCATCCAAACATTTGTATCACAGAACATGACATAGTAATCCATAACTTAAAAGAAAAGGCACAGAAAATCCAAATGTTTACAAGTAACTAGGGTTGTTCACGGTTCAGTTCAGTGAGAAAACCGAACCAAACCAAACTGAATCATAGTAAAAGTTTACTCGAACTGAACTGAACCGTTTCAATTTACTTAGAACTGAACCAAACCAAAATAATTGGTTTGGTATACCATTTAGAAATTCCGAACCGTAGAAGCCAATTTTTCCCGAACCGAACCATTTGTTGAAGAACCGAACCATTAAACTATTTTTCAAAAATTTTTAAAAAAAAATTAAAAACTTATTTTTAGTATTTTTCATTTTCAGGTTTGCTGCGGTTCGATTTCAGTTTCTATTCGGTTCTAGAACCATTTTATGCAATATGATTTGGTTCACTCACCAAATATAATGGTTCGGTTATTTTAACTTCAGTTTGGTTCGGTTCAGTTCATGGTTTTTTTGAACAGCCCTACATGTAACAAAACTGGTTGACATTTTTAAGAAATGGTAAATCAAAGAAACACCGCAAACATACTACTGAGACTATGAGGTCGGAACCAAATAGATTGAGATTAGAAGCTATTTCAATTTACCCTTGAGCAAATATACGACCAGCACCGAGAGCATTGTGACCAACTTCACTGTTGCCCATGTCATCCTCAGTTGGAAGTCCTACAGCTTTACCATGAGCCCTAACCAATCTCCAATGTTCAGGTGCACCCTACAATATTACAAAAAAAAAAAAAAAAAAATCCCACCGTTCATTTCAAGGAAAACACAAAAACAGCAACAGATCTAAGCAGAATCAAAAGAGAAACTGGAAAACAAAAAGGAGTATGTATAGTTATATTATTATACCTTTTTAAGAGAATCCATGGTTGGTGTTTCAGCGATGTGGATACAGTTGTACTCATTTGGGTTAGCCTCACCCCAACCATCCAAAACAACAACAGCAATAGTCTTTCCCTTTGGAAGCTTAGGATGATCCGGTAATTTCCATGAGAAATCTGAGCTACCCATATTTCTTCTTCTTTTCTATAACAGTTTCTGATTCAAAACCAAAACCAAAAATCCAATCCTTAACAAACTAATCAACAACAAATTTCATTATAAACATCACAAATCAATTGTGATTACACCATGTGATACTATCTATGTGTAAATTAAATTAAATTTAGATCTCGTGCAGTTCCCAAATTCAAATCTAAGAACTAAAATTAATAAAAATTGTTGTTAAAAATATGAATCTTAAATCTATGATATGATAAAATAAACAAATCAAAGGATGAGATTGATACAGAGAAGTGAAACGGTGTGTTGAAGATGGAAATCTCAGAAAAAGACATACCTAACGATTTCTTGTTGAGCCGCAAGTAACTGCACAAATGTCACAGTTATAACCTAACAAATACCAAACCCTTTGCCTTTTGAATTTGTGTTCTGTTGTGCTTGGTTCGTTTGATATAAATACAGTTCTTTTTTTGGGTTTACTAGTGTTGATATTTTTAGTTTTTTATTGTTTTTTTTAAGGGATTGCTTTTAAATTTAAATAAAAGGAAGGAACTTGAATTTAAGAAGAATCGCTTTTAGACGGAGAAAATAAGAGAAAAGTGAAAATGGTTGAATTATACTACTTTCCTTTGTTAATTATAGTTAGACCTTTTAATTCTTATCTTTTATTCTAATCTGTGGGTCTCTAAGTTTACGATTTGTAAAAACAGTTTGCTATTTGAAAAGTATTAATTTTATATTATAATTAAAATTTTAAAAAAATTAAATGTATGATTTAGAAACGGTCTTTTATTTAAAAAATAGTGTAAAAGGGATGATAAATCTAAATTAAGTATTATATTATATTTATTTTAGAATTTTTAGAATTTCATAAAATATTTAATTATTTACGGAACACTGAAGAAAAAAGGTGAAATGTTTTTGACTAAAAAAATACGGTTTGCGTGAAGTTGGTTTTCGCTAGAAGTTTTTGTTCTTGGAATGCAGATATAAATATGAATATTCGAATATGCCATTGTTCCCCAGGGTGACATGTCATTTTTCATCATTTCTCATGCTTTTTTCTTCTAAAAAATAAAAGAATAACACTAACAACATACAGTATTTGTTTAATACATACTTCCAAACATTTTTTATATGTTAAAATTAATATGCGTTCTATTAAATATACACTTGACATGTGATTTGGTGAACTCACAAAAATTATAATCAATAAAGAAAATAAAATTTAACAAAATGAATAAAAAAATGTTTTTATATGTAATGACATTACATATGTGTAAAATTTAATGATATCGAATTCGTACAAATTGAATGAAAATGACAAATGTGTTTATTATAAATATGAGAATCGTATTTGCAATATCATATGTTTTTATGTAAAATCATACATTTAGATCAAACATTCAGGTCGTAATGATATGAAATCATTGTTGTGCAATAATTTTGATATGAAAGACCTCGGATAAGCGAACGTGATTCTTGGTATTTAGATCACGACATTTGAGCAAGGAAGTTTTTTGGATCAATCACACTATATGGAAAAGGTCTTAAAGAAATATAATTACTTTGACTGTAAACCAGTGAGCACATCATACGATCCAAGCTTGAAATTGTTTAAAAAATTTGGTGAAAGTGTCAGACCAATCGAATATGTGAGCACCATTGGCGGTCTTAGATATGTCACTGATTGTACTAGACCTGACATTGTATATGTCGTAGGATTGTTGTGCAAGTTTACTAGCAGACCGAGTGATGAGCATTGGCAAGCTATTGAGCGAGTCATGCAATATCTTAAAAAGATACTGAATCTCGGTTTGCATTATCAGAGATTTTCTGCTGTGCTTGAAGAATGCAATGATGCATATTGGAATACCTTATCAGATGATTCCAAAGCAACTAGTGGTTATATATTCAATATAGGTGGAGGAGTTGTATTTTAGAAGTGGTGGAGTCTGAGATAATAACATTAGCAATTGCTAGTGAAGAGTTGGTTAAGATGTTTGCTATTTGAGATTCCTTTGTGGGAAAAACCTATGCCAACTGTGTTGATCCACTGTGATGGTATTGTGGTTATTGCAAAAATTGAGAATCGTTATTATAATGGTAAAAGACGTCAAATTAGAAGAAAACACAACATTGTTAGAAACTGCATCTCTAAAGGATCTGTAAGAGTGGATCATGTACAGACACTGATGAAAATTTAGCAAATCCTTTAACGAAAGGATTAGCTAGAGAGAAAGTTTATAATACATCTAATAAGATAGGACTAATTCCTATAGAAAAATGAGTTGCTCATGATGGTAACCCGACTTAAATATCTGAAGATCCCAAGAAATAGGTTCAATTTGTAATAACATATTGTGAGCAATATGAGGTGATCATGCTAGAGTAAATAAGAAAAACATGAATCTTGAAGAGATGAGATGATATAAACTCTTAATGAGATTTATACTAAGTATGAGTGAGCACCTAGGCTACATGAGTATTCTTGATAGTCTCACATATGTGATTATGGAACTTAGGTCGATTCCTATAGAATTTCGAGGTAGAATTCCTAGAGCCTTCACTAAACTAGAATACATGTGCATGGCCATTAAAGAATGGGCTATTAAAATACACCTTAAGAAAAGATTGTGTTCAGGTTTGATGTCTGGGATAAAGTTTAAGACATTTGTGTCACCCTTGTTGAATCGGAATCCTACTTGTTGCGCAAAGGTTCAAGTTATAGACACGTCTACTTATGCACAATCTTAGAAATGTTTGACGTTACATCTAAAATCACCTTTTAAATTCAAGTGGGGAATTGTTGGAATACTTAGAATGATGTAAACTTAGAACGAAGACTTGGTAGAATTTATTGGCATTAAACTGGCAATAAACGAGTACAAGTATGAGCTAGTATGGAAGTGAATTTTAAAAGATTCATTTTAGTCTTGCATAGGAGGGAAAGCAAATATTAGTAGTGCTTATACACTCCAAATTGATCAAATGGGTGGGGCCCCAAGGGGTACCCAATTTTGTAAAGGAGTGAGGACACACCACCAAGCTACACTAACACGCGCGCATGCGCCACCGCCGTCATCCAGTCGACTCGGTTCAGTTCGGTCTAATCTTAGGCTTGGACTTCGACCTTTGATTAATTTTTTTTGGAACTCGAATTAGTGTGAAATTAATTAATATGAATTTAAATAATTTGCTGGAAATTAATTAATATTAATTAAATAATTATGATTATAATGTGTCCTCTATAGAAACCCTAAATCTAGTTTTGACCAAGAAAAAATGGAGCGGTTACCTTGTTGATCAAGTGAAAAATGGCTAGTCTTGACTGGGTCGGTTCCACTCTCTTCCATGTTCTCTTCATTTGGGTTAGATACTCAGCTATAAATAGTGACTCTTCCATCACTTGTTCCTCACATCAAATTTCATATTCTGAAATCTCTCTCTTCAATTTTTGAGTGGCTTGTCTGCGCCATCAAAGACTATTTTTTCCAGAAACGACGAGTGGTTTTAATGTTATCAAATGGTGTATCTCTAGAACGATACCTATCGTGCAAGTAGTTATCATACAGTTGAAATGTATTATTTTATCCTAGAGGCGTCATAGTAGTTATACTGTGAATGTGAGAAAAATACACAAGAAATGGGGGTTAAATTATGTTTTTCGTTTCTTAACTTTGCCTCTGATCAGAGTTTATCATCTAAATTGGTGTTCAGAATCTAATTATACGTTGCAGCGGAATGTCAACAGAAGCAAATAAAAGATAAAGAACATACAAAGATTTATATTGGTTCCTCCCAAAAGAGAGTAGTTCACCCCCCTTGCATCACAAAATATTTTCACTATAACCAAAACATGATTATAATCACTTATGCATTTAAGCATAAGACTTTTCTTCCTTAGAGCCTCAGCCTGAGACATCCTGCTTAAACCCCTCAGGTCTAAGACTTCTATCTAGGTTCCACGAACCTAAGACTTCCCTGCTTAAGCCCCTCAAACTCAAGAATTCTGCTTAGACCTTCGATCCAAGACTTCCCTGCTTAGATTCCACGAATCCAAGACTTTTGGTTAACCCCCTCAGGTCCAAGACTTTCTTGCTTAAGTTCCATGAACTCAAGACTTCTTTTCTCAGGTTCCATGAACCCAAGACTTCTGCTCAAGCCCCTCATGCCCAAGACTTCTGCTCAGACTCACAGTATAAGACTTTTTGCTCAATTAACAACTGATCAAGACTTTCAATACTCTGGCACATATCAAGAGACTTACTTGGCTCAAGCTTCTCAGCAAGAGACTTTGATGCTCAAGCATGTAGCGAGAGACTAAATCTAAAATACTAAACAATCATGTTTAGCATAATAGAGAACAATGTATACTTAATTAAAAAATAGAGGTACAGGGTAATCACCATAACAAAGACCTTAAAAACTTAAGATTTCTAAGATATTCAATGTTTAAGAAATCTTAAGGCTTATTACAATTTACAACATATAACAGAAATTATGCATACTCGATTGTGTTGCTTATTGTTTGATCTAGTTATTCCTCTATCCAGACAGAAGTGTAGAACACTTCTATCCTGCTTGGCTTTCCTTTTATATTTTCCCTTTTGATTGCTCCTTGTTAAAGACTGCAGTTTGATCTTCAACAACTTATATAACAGCTGTAAAAGACTAGCTGTTAGAAGAGATAACTTGAACAAGTGTCTTTGTTTTCCCAAGGTTGAGGTTTGTAAGCTCCTCTTTAGTTCTACATTTAAGAAAATTAAAATATATCACCCGGGAAAGATCAGCAAAACAAAACAAAAAAAGCAACCAAAATAATAGAAATTTAAAAAGTACATTAATTATAAATGAGCAACATTAAATTTGTAGGGTTCAGATTCTTTATTAAATACTATTATATCTTTCTACCTCTTTTGTCACATCAAAAAGAATAAAAAAGAAAAATAAAATAATTACAGTCATAAATGCATTAACAGATCATCATCACGTGATCGGTTTTCAAG